ATTCCCCGGTCAGCTCGGGGAAGGACGAAAGAAGAAGGAAGAAAGACGATAGAAGACAGACGATACACCAAAGCAAGTGTCGCCCATGTGCACCTGAGCGTAGATGTCCATGGGCGACAAATCGCCAGTGAAGGGGTTGCACCTCCTGCTGGCGGTGCAGTGGGTCTATTTATATCCCCCCGACCCACTGGGGGTGTAAGATTTTGTCAAATCCATATGCCTAAAAATTGACGAGCGCCGATTGCAGCACGTCGTGACATTTGGTTCTGCAAGGGCGGCAGTCCTGAGGCGTCAATAATTTGTTCATCCATTTGCGAAAGTTTCTGTATCTTTTTGGAGAGTTTTACCGCACTCGCAACTACATACGTTGTTTCTGTATCTGTATATCTAAAAAGGTTGCATGCTTTAAGGGGAGTAATCTGTCCAGTTTTTTTTTTATAAATATGGTCTAGTTAAATGCCATAGAGGTACACTTAAAATGTTAAAACGTTTGTTTCAAGGTTTTTGATTCTCACTGTGAAAGAGCCGGTTTCATTGCTGAACATTCAATTGGAGGTAGAAAGGGACGCCGATGAAATTCATGGGAAAATAATAAGCTTACCTTATAATAGACCGTGTCTACGGTTTCAAAACCAACCCATTGGTCTCCTTGAACCACATAAATAACTTTCTGGTCTGGAACCCAAGTCACCTGTCCACCACGGTACATCTTACAGATCTGGGAAAGAAACGATGACAAGATTAGACTCGAGCAAGAAATAGACGTCTACCCGTTAAAAACCCCCGCTTGTGCAGCCAAATATAGGACTTTATTAACTTAAGACAATTTGTTTTAAGTACAACTGAAATGGAACAGGTGAACAAATCAAATGTTAAGCCTACATTATGTAATCCCCACCAACAAAAACTTGAAAAGTTCCCCAACGTGCACTTTCATTGTGAAAGAAAGTATCACAAGGAAGATCTGTTCCTGGAGAAATTATAAGAATTTAAAATGAACAGAAATACAAATAGTACATCTTGTAAACTGAGAAAATCAAGTAATATAAATTAACTTTCAAAGCTACCGTCACGATTGGGCCAGATATGCTTATGCGGAACAACCCGGATTTTAAAAAAACCACGAATCCACAAAGGGTTTACACCGACGCAATATTTACATAATTTAGCAAGATCAACAGTTAAGTGCCAACCTGGGGTGAGGGGTATATTATAACGGAAACACTGAGATCTTCAAAAATATTCCACTCTTAAACCGAAATTCGACCTGAAAGCAACGGTAAAGAGGCCAACAATAGACGCCAGCTGTAAAGTTACCTCATAGTAAGACAAGATTCCAGCCTCGCCAGTAAACTCTCCTGCTTTTCCTGCGCCATAGATCGGGGCTCCGATACCATTGTCATTGGGATCCACCAGGGTAAAGGAGCGACCATACGTAGGAATACCTATCACGAGCTTGTACCTGGGACATCCACGTTCAACCCACGCACTGGCAGACCAGTCCTGCAACGAGAAAATATTCAACAGAATAAAATTGTCTATCACAATCCAGGTGTAAGAATGTAGACGTAATCTGCACGGCATGGTGCTCAACAAATTTGTTCTGAAGCTGCAAGATACAACTTCACGGATGTAATAACTGGTGTTTTCAATGTTATGGAAAGGAAAGGCTGAAAAGGCGGCTGAAGTCTCAACTCACTGTACGTTATACTCTGCACGTTATACTTCACGCTCACTGAATTGACTTATTGGTTATATTCAGATGGTCTAAACGTAACACGACCTTGCTGTCAAAAGGGGCATTAAAACATCCCTTACAAACCTGGAGGTGTACAACAGGGCTATTCATTAAAGCCGCGCATTCTAGTCATTGGACAACGCTTGAAGACGCGTTGTTTGGGAGCACTTTTAAACAAAGGGAATCATTATTTCTACATTATTTCAATGTGTTACTTTACAGGCTGGGCAACAGCTGGTACACTTAAAAGTCCGGTTCTGATAGAGTGGGATGCAGCATTAACTTGGTCTGCTGCTGATTGGACAGGCCCTCAAAAAGTTATCTTGAACTTACGACATTGTTGTATTTGTCGTCTCCAACTGGCCGCGATGGCCTATACAGTGGACTCCCGTGGCCAGTCTTGTGGTTCCAGACGCCGCTGTAGTCGTAGCTCATGAGCACAATGTAGTCCAGGTCCCTGGGAATGGTTGAGTATGTTTTAGTATGGGGTTTTACGGCACTCGCAACCGCATAAGTATATTTTAAGGCACTATCAACGTAATTTGGCAAATTCATGCATGATCGACCTTGATTTTGATTCGGTAGGTGTTTGTGATCGACCTTATTTATAAAAAGGTTAGTAATTGATATTTGTTGTAATTGTATAATAAAGCTGGGAAATAATTGATCAAACATTCGTCCAGCAGATCATTTGTGAGATGGGACTACCCTATCAGGGCCTTCACGGCTTAAAAAGGCATAACTTAAGTATAGCAATTCAAACCAAATGTACCCATTACAGCTACATCGCTAGTAAACATGAGCAATATTACAGCAAAGATGAGCCGACTGACACTGGAAGCAAAGTTCCAAGAATAGCTTTAAAGGTCGAGCGATATTCAAGGACCAGCAGTGTTCAAATATAATTTGAATTGGACGCAAGAAATTACAATATCCAATTTTAAGTTTCGAGATTAATTTGGACGAAATTAGCAAGAAACGATATCTCGATACCGAATTGCTACGGCTCAGTTATTTACAGAGGTAAATGAGCGGCTTCAAAAAAAAATCTCACCACCCATATCCATTACTCCATTTCAACCAAAAGTGGACATAGTCAACACTTGCGCTTAGACTACGATATGTATGAACTGAAAAAAACCCCGCATCCTCCAATGCACCCATTTCTTTGAACTTAGTCATCGCTCCGTACCACACATCAGAATGATAGAAACCTATTAGAAATCTTCCCGCCCCCTCCTTAAAAAAGCCCGGTGAATAATTTAAAACTGAAATCTAAAACCCACATAGACAAAAAGATGTTGAAAATGGACATGTACCTGGAGATCTTGTCCACTTCGTAAGCTGTATCTATAGTATATTTGCTGGCCCCTACAGCAGCCGACAGGAGAAGGCGAGGAAAACCAGCATTATCAAAAGCATTCCTCAGCTCCTGCAAGAGTTAACGTACTCGTATTACGGTGCTACCGATTCAATTTGTCCAAACGATTTTGAACCCATTTAACTACTGTATTCAGGAAGGAATAAAACATTGTACAGCTAACAAATGCACATCATTGAGTTACAATAACAGTCAAAAGAAAAAGATTTTGAACGCATTTGGCAATTCATGTAGGAATAAAACATACAACCAAAACAGCACAAATCTGATCTCAGTGCGACAACAGAGTATGATCATCAAAAATTAAAATTGGACGTAAGACGGCCGCGCTCTCCCTTTATATTTATATATTATATACACATACATACTTATATATTTATATACATACATATACACATATATTGTATTATATCTATATTTAATGATACAACACTTTGGGAAAGTGCGCACGTGGGCCGCGTCATTTGGCCCAACGGAAGGGTTGAAAAGGGTAAACAGTCGGTTTAGTTGAAGTGCGAGCTCGTTGTATTTGATTTTGTTCAAATAAGAGTTTTACCGTACAATCGATTCAAATAATAGTGAAATAATATAGAAAGAACATACTAAAATACCATTTTACCGATGCATGCGAATACATATAGCTACAATTTTTCAAAGACTCGGGGTCTTACACACTGACAAGGACACTGAACTGATAAGTTTAGACTCAACTTACCGAAACCAGTTGGGTAAATTTATATTTATCCGATGCGGGACTTCCTCGGGATCCTGGGTATTCCCAGTCCAGATCCAGACCGTCGAAACCGACATTTCTCAGGACCTGAACGGTTTGCTGAAAATAGACAAAGTGAAACGAAGATTCTCCGTAAACCCATCCAGGAAGACATGCCCTTTTTTCAAACAACACACCTTGCTAGAATAAAAAAGGATCAGTTCCAATGGACGTTGCTTTATGTCACGACCGGCACAGATCTATTAAACAGGGATTTCAATGTTCAGGACTGAATTTGATGGGTTAACAGCCATTGTTTGGTCTCCAACCTCTGCGTCAGATATAAACCCGTCATTATGCGGAGGACCCACTTCCCCAGTTCAATAATTAACCTTAGGGTTTCGGAGCAGGACCATCCGCGCTATAATTCGAAATAGTACAAACATCTAACCGCGGGATTTTTATAATATAAAATAATATAACCATATTCAATAATAGCAAAGCACAAGACAAAGGAAAAGCACTCGGTCTGTAGACTGCTTTCACCATTTCTAAACTTTACCTGGATAAAATTTCTTCTGGCTTGATCGTCATTGACCATATTTGTCCAAGGCTCTGTGCCCATTTTCCAGCCTCCAAGAGACAGCAAAACCTTTAGTTGTGGATAGAATCTCCTTATATTGAGGACATTCTGGTAACTAGAGAACGAGAAAGACGAAAGACATCTGAGCATATTTTACGGCACCATTGACCCCATTTAGTCATTGGATGCGTGCAACAATGTTTAAAAGACCAGCATACATCTTACACATCACGGGATGTAAAAAAAAAAAAATTACATTTTGGCGCTTTCAAGGACACATCCCAGGAGACGTGGGTGCTATTTGAGTACTTTTTACGGCATAATCGATATCATATATCCCAACCGACAGACAAGAATTACGTGTAATACATCACCCCCCCCCCCCCCTCACTCCTCCCTCTTTTTGTTTTTGGAATATAGCATCCATTCCTGCAGGGCCCTTCCAAATATATTTTAACTCATTTCTGTCTGACGGTCTAAAAAGATTTTAAGTGCAGTACTCAAAATAACCCGACGTCTTTATCCGTCTCAAATTCAGGATATTCTTGTAGGTTTTGCCTCCCCCCTCAAACCCCCCCCCCAAAAAAAAAAACCCCACAACAACAACAACAAACAACAAAAAGCAACCCATACACTACGGACACGTTTTTAAGTTGGAAACAAACCCGATGCTACAAAAACTTTCCCGTCTCCATCTGTTCCAGGTTAAATATTCTTGGTCTACCGCAACATCGTCTGCCTTTTTCAAGTTAATGAAAATGTTTGAGGCATTTGTCGTTTCAATGACTATGTTTACTATCGACAAGTTCCAAGTTGAGATTGTTATCTTACGATCTGGCAAAATTGCAAGCTGGAATACACTAGCAACTATTTTATTATCCGCTCGTCAGATACTCACAGGTTGTTTTTATATGAATCGGGAGCACTGGGTGCCAATTTAAGATCCTTGTCTAGTTTTGCAAAAGCGTAGTGAATGTGTGTGCACAGACTCCCATTGATGTCCTTTGGAAGGAAGGCACCTTCACCTGGACGATTCTGCGCCCAGTTGGTGAAGTAGCACACCATCTTCTTCCCGGGGTCGCCATAGACTGACGTTGAAAAGGAAGACATACAGAAAAACATTGAAACACTGTCATGAAATAAACAAGTAGACTTAAAGTCATATAGAATACGGAAGCCACAGCCTGCCATTAAAAAGACTAAAGACAACATCAAAAAAATTGGGTCGTATCCTGATTTTGTAAAGCAAAATTAGACTGTATAAAAAGTCCCGAAAACGTGCACAGGCCGGGTAGCAAGATTTGTTGATTTGACTGTACGTCTTTCGGCACTATCAAAATAATTTGGTCACAACTGGGAGTAGGTTAGATAGAGACCATAAAACGGATTTACTGCGATATCGACAAATTGCAAGGCACACCTTGAATGTAAAATGCGAAAGGGATTTGGAGAGAGGAAAAAACGTTAACTATGTATACGTTGACGTCATACCCGTTACTACAGCTGCCCCGGTAACGACCAGGAGAAGGTAGAGAGTTTTTTCCAAAGCCTGCAACAAAGAACAAAAACATACAGCATTTAAAAGGTGTGCGTCTGAAGCTTAGTTTTAGTCAAATGTTTTATGGCACTTGCAACACAATTAGGTCATGTAAGTGATAACGTTTAGGTATTAAAAGAATTTAACAAATACAATAAAGGGAGAGATTAGGATAACAATTTGATAGAAAAGAATAAGTAACTACACCAGAGCACCCACTAGCTTGTCTTTACGGGCGAGGTCATAACATAAACGTCAAGTAAAAGTGATGTTGCTGTTCAATAAGAGTCATGTTTAAAAGCGCGTTTAAAAGCGCATCGAAAACTAGATAAAGCACATAAAAATTCGAGTAAAGAGAAGACATGAAACATGTCACTTGAGTAAACTGACGGACAAATATGGGTGACCGTAAAGTAGGATACAAGAGGCGTGGTCTTACCATCCGAAGAATGAGGGGAAAAAATGGAAATAATTGTATGATCACACTAATCTCCCAATAGGGATTCGGCGAAAAAGCAAATGGACGATATGAACAACCAAATACGAGATACAATAAATATCAAAATAAATTTGAGAAAAAATACCCGGTGCTAAGAAGCGAGGTTTTGTCAGATTTGTCAGAAGGGCCGAGAAGCAGGATAGTTGGTCGAATAGAAACATTTTAAAACGAAAAAGTATTCTCCGCAGCGATCAATTTTCTATTTTAATTTCAATAAAGTAAAAATGAAAAGAACGGGAAAAAATCTTTAAAGATGAATTTGTCCTCCAATCAAAACATATGCTTGTAGTCGAGGGTTGGGGGTGGGGGTGGGGTGGGGGGACTGCCAGGGTCAACGAGTGTGACACTATCCCAGCAGACAGACAAGAACGCCCTCATGCAACAAAGACCCTTACCCTTGCACCACAGACGTCGGTCTAAAAACTTCGTAATTTTGTTTTTGTTTTGTTTTGTTCTCTTTTAGTTTAACAGCGTTTACGGCACTTGCAACTCAAGTAAGTACCGAAGATATGGTTATGTTCGGCAACGTGACAAAGAAAAGGAAGAGCGATCAAGGTGATCGACGTTTGGAAGGAACAAGCATATCTTGATGGAGACGGCGTTTTCTAGCTTGTCCTTGCCGGTATGTGAAATGGAACCGCGAATTTTAGAACGCTTGACTTATGAGAGGTTGTTTTTTAGTTTTAGTAAGAGTTTTACGGCACTTGCAACACAGTAAGGTCATAAAAGTGCCGAAGATTAGGTGTTACAAGAGAGCAACAAGCAAAAAGGAGGAGGAGAGATAAAGACGATAGTTGTTTGATAGGATAGGAGAAAACTCCACCAGAGCACCGGCCAACCACCCCCTATAAGGTTTGTTTTAGTAAAAGTTTCACCTCACTTGCAACACAATAAGGTAATACAAGTGCCGAAGATTAGGCGTCACTAGAGAGTAAGAAACAAGGAGACGAGAACGATATATATTTGATAGGAAAGAATGAAAAGTGCAACAAACGTATTCCAGAGCTCACAGTTATAAAAAGCGCTCGTAACAAACATATTCAAGATACAAATCCATACCTACTCGATACACACCATTTTTTTTTGAAAAGTTAAATTAACGATTTCTAGACCATTCCAGATATTATGCTCCATTCTTATGAGAAATGTACATTAACGTATTCTAGATACTCACTATTCTCAT